GGGAGCTTCATCAACCTGATAGAAAGCATCTATGAAGAACCTATACCTAACATCATACTTAACGGTGAAAGACTGAGTGCTTTTCCTATAAGAAGATCAGTAACAAATCAAGACGTCCATTCTCACTCTCTATATTCAGCACTGTACTAGAGGTTCTGGCCAAAGCATTTGGTCAAGAAAAGATGTGCAAAACCTGTATGCTGAAAACTATAAAGCTTTGCTGGGAGAAATTAAATAGAATCTAAATAGTGATATTTATACCTTATTCATGGGTCAGAAGACGCCATATTGTTGAGATAACAATTCTTCCCAAATTGATTTACAAATTCAATATAATCCCTTTCAAATTCCCAGCAGGAATTTTTATAGAAAATCACAAGCTGATTCTAAAATTCGTATGTAAATGCAAATGACCTAGAATTGTCAAAGCAACTTTGAGAAAAGAACACATTTGGGAGGTTAACACTACCTGATTTTAAGATGTATTATAGGGAATAGATGTATTATAGGAAATTCCCTGGCAGTCCAGTGGTTAGGACTTGGCACTTTCACTGGCGGGGCTCGGGTTCAATCCCTGATCAGGGAACCAAGATCCTGCAAGCCATGTGCGTGGTGCAGCAAAAAAAAAAAAAAAAAAGTATTATAAAGCTACACTATAATCAAGACAGTATGGGATTGATGTCCAAACAGAAAAATATATTAATGGAAGAGGACAGAGAGCCCAGAAATATACTCACACAAATATAGACAACTGATTTCTTTTTTTACAAAGGTGTAAAGGCAGTTCATTAGAAAAAGAATAACCTTTTCAGAAAATGGCCCTGGAAATACTAGATATTCATATGCAAAAAATAACTTGGATTAATACCTTGCACCATACACAAAATGGATCACAGTATTAAATATAAAAACTAAAACTGCAAAATTTCTTGAAGAAAATTTAGGAGAAAAATCTCATGACCTTGGGTTTGGCAATGATCTCTTAGATATGACACCAAAAGCATAAGCCATTAAAAACAAATTGATAAGTTAGACTTCACAAAAATTAAAAACTTTTGTTCTTTGAGAAACGCTGTTAAGATAATGAGAATGACAATTCATAGACTGGAAGAACATGTTTGCAAAGCATATATCTGATAAAGGATTTGTATCCAGAATATATAAAATACTCTAAAAGCTCAAAAATAAGAAAATAGACAACCCAATCAATATTAAATGGGCAAAAGATTTGAATAGACACTTCACCAAAGAAGATATTCAGATGGCAAATAAGCACATGAAAAGAGTTTCAACATCACTGATCGTTAGGTAAATGCAAGGTAAAACCAAAATAAAAAGCACTACACATCAGTTTGAATGGGTAAAATTAAAAAGAATTGTCATAGCAAGTGTTGCTGAGGATGCCAATAAACTGGAACTCTATCACATGGCTGGCGGTAATATAAATGGTACCACTTTGTAAAACAGTTTGGTAGTTTTTTAAAAAGTTTAACATACACCTATGAAATGATTCAGCCACTCCTCTCATAGATATTTACCCAAGAGAAAAGAAAACATTATCCATAGAAAGTCTTGTACACAAATGTTCATAAAAGCTTTATCTTGCAATAGCTAAAAACTGGAAATCCAAACATCCATCAACAGGTGTATGGGTAAACAATTAGTTGTATATATACCCACACAGTGAAATATTACTCAGCAAAAAAAAAAAAGGAATGAACTATTGATATATGCAACAACATGGGTGAATCTCAAAATAATTATGCTCAACAAAGGAAGCTGGAAAAAAGATGTATGATTCAATGTATGATTCAAATATAAACTCTAAAAAATGCAAACTAACCTAAAATGACAGAAAACAGATCAGTGATTGCCTGGAGACAGAGGGGAAGGAGGGATTACAGAGGGCACTTGGGAACTTTGCGGTATGTTCACCATCTTGACTGGGCTGATGGTTTCATAGGTGTATACATATGTCAAAACTTAATTGTATGCTTTGAACATGTGCAGTTTACTGTATGTCAGTTATACCCCAACAAAGCTGTTGAAAAGAATTGACTCACATAAATATACCCACTGATTTTTTATAAAGATGACAAAGCAATTCAGTGGGGCGTGAGGAAAGACTAAGGTCTGACGCCTATGGCCAATAAAAACACAATGAGCCCTTTTTGGATTCAGATTATTACTTACACGGAGAACGAAAGGAAGAGTAGCCAAATGTACTAGCAACCCATGCTCCCTGTCCTACATACCGGAAAGGCGTGACCACAAAACAAAAAGTGCCTCCCATCCTCTTGTGTTCCAAGTGGATCACAAGGAGTTCTGCTAAGACTCAGATAAATACAGGTCAAGCCTTTGCCTATGTGATCAATTTCACCAGACTGCCATGACAGAGCTGTTCCCCTACACAGAAAAGCCGCAGATCCTGAGTCTTGAACGGGCTTCCCTGGGCAAAGTTTATTCCACACCTGTAGTTCACTGATAGAGAGAAAGCACATCCTTGTGTGGCTTCAGACGGTTCAGATGACCTCTCTGAACTCTACTGAATGCATATATTTTTCCTATCACTTTTGGTCTGTATCCTTTGATGTAATAAACCTTAGCTGCGAGTAAAGCCTGCTATTGAGTCTTGTGAGTCCATCCAGTGAACCACTGAACCTCGATGGTTATGGGACCCCAGAAACATGGTTATTTTTTTCAATAAATGGTGCTGGTGAAATTGGACATCCATAGGCAGAAGTATAATATAATAAACCTAGACCAAAACCTCATAACTTACATAAAAATTGACCCAGGGGCTTCCCTGGTGGCGCAGTGGTTGAGAGTCCGCCTGCCGATGCAGGGGACACTGGTTCGTGCCCCAGTCCGGGAACATCCCGCATGCCGCGGAGCGGCTGGGCCTGTGAGCCACGGCCGCTGAGCCTGCGCGTCTGGAGCCTGTGCTCCGCAACGGGAGAGGCCACAACAGTGAGAGGCCCGTGTACCGCAAAAAAAAAAAAAAAAAAAAAAAAAACAAAAAAGACTCAAATTGGATCACAGATTTAAATGTAAAATTATAAAATTTTAGAATGAAACATAGCAGAAAATATTCATGACCTAGGGTTAGGTGAAGAATTCTTACACGTGACACTAAAAGCACAATACATAAAAGAAAAAAATCAATAAATTGAACTTCCTTAGGATGAAAAAGTTTTGCTCTGTGAAAAACCCTGTTAAGAAGATAAAAAGACAAGCTACAGACTGGGAGAATATATTTGCAGATCACATCTCTAACAAAGGATTTGTCTACAGAATATGTCAAGAACTCTTAAAACTCAACTGTAAGAAACCAACCACCCAAAGTTTTAATGGGAAAAGACTTGAACAGATACTTCACCAGAGATGATATACAGATGGCAAATAAATGCATGAAAAGATGTCCAACATCACTAGTCGTTGGGCAAACACAAATAAGAACACACTGAGATGAGACTACATACCTATTCAAATGGTTAAAATTAAACACTGATAACACCAAATGTTGATAGGGATGCCGATAAACCGGATCTTGCTATCACTGTTGGTCAGAATGAAACACGGTACAGCCACTCTGGAAATCATTCTGACAATTAAACATAGAGTTACCTATGACCCAGCAATCACACTCCTGGGCATTTATCCCAGAGAAATGAAAACTCAGGCCCACACAAAAACCTATACTCGAATGCTCACACAACTTGAAACCTGAAAACAAACCAAATGTCCTTCAACAGGTGAGTGGTTAAACACATTGTGGTACATCCATACTATGGAATATTATTCAGCACTAAGAAGGAACAAACCACTGATACACCCAACAACTTGGATGGCTCTTAAGGGCATTATGCTGAGTGAAAAAAGAAAAGCCAATTTCCAAACATTACATACTATAGGATGACATTTATATAACATTCTTTTTCTTAAGGAATCATTTATTTTTTTAAATTTTATCTTAGAGTATAGTTAATTAACAATGTTGTGATAGTTTCAGGTGTACAGCAAAGTGATTCAGTTATACATATACATGTCTCTATTCTTTTTCAAATTCTTATCCCACTTAGGTTGTTACATAATATTGAGCGGAGTTCCCTGTGCTATACAGTAGGTCCTTGCTGGTTATCCACTTTAGATACAGCAGTGTGTACATGTCAATCCCAGACTCCCTAACTATCTCTTCTCCCCACCCTTCCCCCCGGTGACCCTAAGTTCCTTCTCTAAATCTGTGAGTCTGTTTCTGTTTTATAAGTTCATTTCTCTTTAGATTCCATTTATAAGTGATATCATATATTTCTCTTTCTCTGTCTGACTTACTTCACGCAGTATGACAATCTCTAGGTCCATCCATGTTGCTGCAAATGGCATTATTTCATTCTTTTTAATGGCTGAGTAATATTCCATTGTATACATGTGCCACATCTTCTTTATCCATTCCTCTGTCAATGGACATCTAGGTTGCTTCCATGTCTTGGCTACTGTACATAGTGCTGCAATGAACATTGGGGTGCACGTATCTTTTTGAATTATGGTTTTCTCTGGATATATGCCCAGGAGTGGGTTGCAGGATCATATGGTAGCTCTATTTTTAGTTTTTTAAGGAACCTCCATACTGTTCTCCATAGTGGCAGCACCAATTTACATTCCCCCCAACAGTGTAGGAGGGTTCCCTTCTCTCCACACCCTCTCCAGCATTTATTGTTCGTGGATTTTTTGATGATAGCCATTTTGACTGGTGTGAGGTGATATCTCACTGTAATTTTAATTTGCAATTCTCTAATAATTAGCGATGCTGAATGTCTTTTCATGTGCCTCTTGGCCACCTGTATGTCTTTTTTGGAGAAATGTCTATTTAGCTCTTCTGCCCATTTTTTGATTGGGTTGTTTGCTTTGATGATATTGAGCTGCATGAGCTGTTTGTAAATTCTGGAGACTAATCCCTTGTCGGTCACATCATTTGCAAATATTTTCTCCCAATCTGTGGCTTGCCTTTTTGTTTTGGTTATGGTTTCCTTTGCAGTGCAAAAGCTTTTGAGTTTAACTAGGTCCCATTTGTTTGTTTTTGTTTTTATTTCCATTACTCTGGGACAAAATTGTAGAGATGGAGAACATATAAGTGGTTGCCAGGGGCTCAGTGTAGGGGAGGGGAGAAGTAACAATAAAGGGGCAGCATGAGGAATATCCTTTGTAGTGATGGAAGAGTTCTGTCTCTTGATTGTGGTGCTGAGGTGGTTATACAAATCTGTACAAGCAATAAAATGCCATATAATCACAAAGACATACCAAGAAATAAGTGCATATAAAAACTGGGGAAATCTGATTAGGGTCTGTAATCTACTTAATTGTGTTGTGCCAATTAATTTTCTGGTTTTGACAATGACTAAAATCATGGAAGATGTCACTAATGGGGGAAGCCGGGTGGTAGGTACATAGAACCTCTCTGTAGTATTTTTTGCAACTTCTTGTGAGTGCACAATTTTTTCCAAATAAAAAGTTACAAATTTATACTCAATTCAGTTATTAGAAAACTTTTATGTATGTTTGGAACAACGTGAGCTGGTGAATCTATATTTTCAACTGTAAATTTTATGAAATCTAAGGCAGATCAAGTATTTCTGGTGAAATTTACCCTCCAAATTGAAATGTGCTGTAAGTGTAAAATACACACCAGACTTCAAAGACTTCATATAAAAATATCTCAATTATTTTTATAGTGATCATATGCTAAAATGAAAGCAGATCAGATTGGGTTATACACAATATATCATTAAAATTAATTTCACCATTTCTTTTTACTTTTTTTAAATGTGGCTACTAGAGAATTAAAGACTAGTATTCACATTATATTTTTATTGGATAGGGCTTCTCTAAGGTTTCACAAAGGTAAAAACCGCAGGAAGCAGCTATTACCCTTAGGCAGCAGGGCAGGCGGCAGGGGGCAGGGGGAGAGAAGTGGTTGAATTACTAAAACTTGGGAGACGGGGTCCCTGGAGCTAAACCTCAGACTTCTGAAAAGGGGGTACTTGCCAACTGGTACTGAGACCTCTGAGCTTGGAGGAAGGTCCCTGTGGTGCTGGACCCAGATTTCTGAAGAGGGAGGCACAAGGTGGTTGGTGGTGTCTCTCAGCAGACACAATGAAGCTGATTCGTCCAAATGGTGGAAAAACTGCAACCAGATTCAGCTGATGCTATAGGAAGGCACTGCTGTTTCCAGGGTGACGACGCAAAGGCTGTGGTGATACAGGAACCACAAACAGACAGGAAAACCCACGGTAAGCAAACAGGTAGGAGTAAGTCTCTTCCTTCTCCAGCTTTGCTGTCTCCCTCTACTGCCCCCTATTAGCAGAACCTAACATAGAGTCAGCCAACAAAGCAGAAACGTGGTTTGTAGTGCCCTACTGCCAGCATCACAAAGCAGGGGCTGGAGGTTTGGAGCTGAGACAAGAAATTAGTAACTGCCACAGTACAACTGCGACAAAGTCACCTAGCTAGCCTCCAAATACCTGTATTGCCCTTCCATCATGCTTGAGTTGTGGTTGGGAAGTGGCTCTGTAGACAGGAACTACCATTTCTCAGTTCCCTGTGCATCTAGGTGGGGCCTTTCTGACAAATCTTCTCCCACGGAATGTTGGTGGAAGGGGTGTGGGTGACATTGAGGCCAGTCTAAGAAGCTCACATGCCTTCTCTACTCTTTCTCTTTTCCCATCTACTGGCTGGTTGCCAGCATCCAGGGTGACCTTGGATGCCAAATGTTGAAAATGACAGAGCTAATGTTACCTTAATGGATACATAATTCTGCAAACACCATGCCTTGGCCCCTAGGTAGAAGGGGACATAGTATTCTTAGTTGCCATGCGATTGCCAAGGAGGTTTTTAAATCTACCAGCAGGGAGTTCACAAATGCTTATCAAAACTCTACTTCCACATATAGCCATATTTCATATAAGAAGAAATATTCATTTTACCTTTTGAACTTAAAGATTATTTAGCTGGGAAAATGGATACTCTTCTCAAGAGTTTTAGAGAATTTATTCATGCATTCTAAACTGGAGAGTACTTAGCATTGATAATGCTTCTGGTATAATATTGCAATTATGTTATAGCACACTGTTAAACTTGTTCAGAAAATCTGTGTGATTTTGGGTAAAATACACATTCAGGAGGAGGGGATGAGGATGAATTCTAGCACCTCTCTTCACCAGAAGTGTTTTGTTTTTCAAATGATTCATATGCCAAATTATTAACAAGCGGTCATCTTCAGTCTCCAATTAAAGTCATATGTTAACACACAGATTTGAACTTCCACCAACCCCTTCATTCAACACAGGTGTAAAGGGAATGGCTAAGGGAATGGCCCTTAGGCACCAATGTTATACTGTATAAACTATAATCAGAATTCTCTCAGATATGCACGCTAGATTCAAGGAGATGAAGGAAGGAGGATTTTTCTGGGCTAGTCAAAGAGAACAGTTGCTTGAAAACCTTCCATGCATTATAAGAGGAAGCCTGGAACCTCCGCAACAGTGTCATAAGATTGCCTTAAATTCCTTTTTAGATTGTTACAAAGTTTAGAATTTCGACCTTCAAATTTTGAAGAAGCTGGTTAAATATGTTTTTAGAAAGGCAACCAGCAACCTCTCGTGAAATTCATGTTGAGTGTTGGCTAAAGAGGCCAAAGAGAATGGAAGGAAGACCTGTACTAGTGTCTCCACTAGTACATTTTAATAATAGTATCTCAGTAACTTACATTTGATGGATATTTGTAAGCTTTCACTGAATCCTCCCACCAGCTCCGTGTGGTAGTCTGATCATATATCTATCTCTGTCTAACTGGCAAGAAAATGGTCTAAAAAAGGTTTACACGAACTGCCCACCATTATGGGACAAATCGGTGGTAGAACCAGGATCAGAGATCGTAGCTCTTCACTTCTGGCCCAGTGCACTTTCCTAGAGTGAACATTTCCGATCTCTGTGTTTCTCGAACCTCTGTGGTTTATTTCTGACCATCTGGACAGAAAAAGAGAGGGGAATTCCAGGCTTTGCTCTAAGCATGAAACCTCTAGCCTCACCTCTAGCTTATTACAGGCGCTGTGTGCTCTGGCTCGTGCCCAACCCCTCTTCCTCAACTCGGGGGAAGCCCTTGCCATCGAAACTCTACCAGCCCTTCACCATCCGGCTGGAGACCTTCTCCAGGCGGCCTCTCCTGACCAACCCACACTCCAGTCATTATTCCCTTAGCACTTGAGAATCCAGAACCTTCAGCTAGTTGGACGTTTCTGTGTGTTAGGTGGTGGGGTTCTTCTAAAAAAGAGAAAAATGACAACATAACAATCAGAGGTTTAATCAAACTGCCAGATTATAGGCTATGACCAGGATTAATACTGATGAAATAAAAATTCACACTGTAAGTCAAGAAAAACGTAAACATAAAATTTTTCTCGACCCTCTGGCCTCCTCCCTCCCCTCTAGTGTGCACCGTGTATCTGCATTATCCACCAACCAGACCTCCCCAATGGCAGAAATACCTGCTCAACCATAAAGAGCAATGTTCTCCTGGTACCAGCAAGATCCCTTCTTAGGAGACAACACTCCTCCTTAATCTTGTAAGAGGCCACAATGACACACTACTCGGTAACTCCTTAGGGGATAACATTCCTTCTTAACCCTGTAAGGGGTCACAATGACCCACTACTTTGTACATGCAGATCTGAATTGTGTAAACTATCAATACGTCTGATGTATAACCCTTTGTCTCAAAAATGGATATAACTGTGCTTTGACCTCTAATGGGCAGAACAGTTCTCAGAGCTCTCTGAGAGACTGTCTCCCAGGTTATAATCCTCAGGTTGGCTTGAATAAAATTTTCCATTCCGTTCATAGACTGACTATTGATTTTTTTCATCAACAATACGAATTCAGTTTAATTTCTTCCACTTTGTCTCTCTACTTAAAATTCTGAAAAGTGACTGGCCTAGAGATCTTGCAAGATCCGCATGGAAGAAAGAATCGGTGGTCGTTAGACTGTCCTCCTTTATGGAGGAAAGTGGGTTCAGATATTGTAGAAAGATTGGCCACCTGAACCCAAATGAGGTTTCTCCTTAGCCCTAAGTTAACCAAAAGATTCTGCCTTAGGAGCTTCCATTCCCTTAGTATTCTGGGGATGGGGGGGTGTATTATTACCTGGATGTGATATATATGTTTATTTTAGCTTTTCAAGTAGCATCTTCTACTGTCCTTGGGTGCAAAAAGATGGGTACTTAATTGATACCTGAGACATTTTCTGTCACAACATTATCCAAAGGTGACTTGAGTATGTCTGATAACTGTATTTTTCATTCATTTGACAAGTGAAATTTATAACAGAAGGGATCAAAGCTCTGGGATACTGGGAAGGAAATCTGCATCTCTGACTGAAAAGGTCAGAGGTCCTATGAGAATGGATAGCCCTGGGGAGTTCTGAAGCCCTTGTTCTAAGAAAAGGAAACTAAATGGAGTTCTCTTTCATTTTGAAGGATGATGAGATGCCTTGGGATAACAAGACTCACTTCAAAGTGATGAGCTATCCTATTTGAGCTTTAGCTATAGTAAAACTAATGGCTGCAAGGACCAGAATGATATGCTTATTAGTTATATGACTGGAGAGCTCCAGGGCTATCTACCCTTCGGAGGTAAAACTCTTATGGGTGCCCCAGCAAAGTGAGGTGGCACATCCTGCTTAACTACAGGGGACCATTTCTGAAGTCGTACACACTAAGATATACTTTAGATATCTATGTCAGTCTAAAGGTTTCCACAATAGTTCAGTTCAACAAGTATTTCTCAAATGTCTATTTTCCAAGCACTGTGGCAGTTGCTAGAGATGCAGAGATAATAATAACTAGTTGTGATAATCAAGCATTACCAAGGCTTTTTTTTTTTGCTTGGTTTTTTACTGTCAGACCCACTGCTAAGTGCTTTAGATACATCATCTCATTTCATTCTTTCCATTGCGCTGTGAGGTATTCGTATTCCCACTTTACACATAAGGAAAAGGAAGCATAGAAAGGTTAAATAATTTGCCTAAGGTTACACAGTTAGTACAGAGCAGAGGTGGGACTTAACCCCAGGTATGTCTAATTCCAAACTTCATGATCTAACCACTATACCATACTTCAGAGACTACTGAGCTTTAATACCCTGGTGGCGAAGCAGCAGACACATACCCAAAGAAAGAATTTCAAACTGTTATGCTAAATGATGAGATAGAGGTATGCGTACCGTGCTATGGAAATACAGAGCATAGCATACGGATTTCTGTAAGCACAGACTCTGGAGCCAGACAGCCTGGGTTTGAAGTGTGACTTTGCCACTTATCAGTTATGTGAATTTGGACAAGTTAAACCTCTGTGTGCCTCAGTTTCCTCATTTGAAAAGAGGGATAATAATAGAACCTAATTCATAAGAGTTGTCATTAGGATGAAAAGGACTTAGAATAGTTCCTGGCACATAATAAGTGCTATTCATATGTTAACTAAAATAAACAAGCTTAACTCTGAATCAGGTTCCAGGGAAGGCTTCTTGAAAGGGCTGATGCCTGAATTGAGTCATAGAGGATAAGTAAGAGTTAGCCAGGTGAAGGAAAGTGGGAAAGGTGGGCTAGGCAGGTGGGGAGAGCATCATTGGTGGGGCTTCACTAAAAGCAGCTTGGTAATTCTAGACTACAGTGTAAAGTGCAGAAGAGGAAGTGGTAAGGGGCAGGTCTGACAAGGCCTTGTATGTCACTTGAAGGAGTGTGGACTTGATTTTATAGGCAACAGGGAACCATGAAAGAGAAGGGTTTTATGCAGGGGAACAATATGGACAGATGTACATGGGAGGGGAGATTTGTTATATAGCCTGAAATTTACTTTAAAGACACTCAGCACAGGGACTTCCCTGGCGGTCCAGTGGTTAATACTCCGCGCCTCCACTGCAGGGGGTGAGGGTTCGATCCCTGGTCGGGGAACTAAGATGCTGCATGCGTCCCGGCCAAAAAACAAACAAACAAACACAAACAAAAACTCATCACAGACAGTGTGAGACACACACACACCTATATGTGTACATGAACATACATACATATACTCTAGGGACAGTTAATATCTGAAGCATCTCAAAGAGGAACACACTCTAGCAGTGCGTAGCGTGCATCTGGAAGACTCTAATTATGAGTCCACACTCCAGATGCAGCTACTGGAAAGCTTCAACCAGTCTACCTAAATCTACAGTAGAGGGTTTGCTCATTTCTGTAGTGGATATTACTGTGAGAAAACCATAGTTCAAAAAGAGTCATGGACCACGATGTTCATTGCAGCTCTATTTACAATAGCCAGGAGATGGAAACAACCTAAGTGTCCATCGAGAGATGAATGAATAAAGAAGATGTGGCACATATATACAATGGAATATTACTCAGCCATAAAAAGAAACGAAATTGAGTTATTTGTAGTGAGGTGGATGGACCTAGAGTCTGTCATACAGAGTGAAGTAAGTCTGAAAGAGAAAGACAAATACCATATGCTAACACATATATATGGAATCTAAAAAAAAAAATTGCTTCTGAAGAACCTAGGGGCAGGACAGGAATAAAGACGCAGATGTAGAGAATGGACTTGAGGACACGGGGAGGGGGAAGGGTAAGCTGGGACAAAGTGACAGAGTGGCATGGACATATATACACTACCAAACGTAAAATATATAGCTAGTGGGAAGCAGCCGCATAGCACAGGGAGATTAGCTCCGTGCTTTGTGACCACCTAGAGGGGTGGGATAGGGAGGGAGGGTGGGAGGGAGACACAAGAGGGAAGAGATATGGGGATATCTGTATAAGTATAGCTGATTCACTTTGTTATAAAGCAGAAACTAGCACACCACTGTAAAGCAATTATACTCCAATAAAGATGTTAAAAAATATATATATATAGAAACAAACTTTCACTGGTTAAATGAAAGGTGTTCCAGATTTATGGACTGACACTTTTGTCTGCCCGTGCATGAATGGGGCCTAAAACACTGGTGACCCCAGAGTGGCATTCTAGGTCTAGGAATCCATTGGGTCCTGCCTCCTGACACTTAATGGATGAGTCTGTTGCCTGATCTGACCAGAAGTTTAGGTAAAATGCTACTGCTGGAGAATTGTTAAATGTGCTTCAGGTGAACCTTTCCTGCGTGGGGCTTCATGGATCTTATGAGGACAGGTGGCAGGACTATGTCTAACTGCTAATAAATGTGTGCTTGGCAGAATTGGGTCAAAGTCCTGTTTTCAGTGGAACATACCACCTGGTATGGAGATTGTGAGGGATGAGAACTACAACCCACGGCTATCTCTAGTCATTGGAATCTACTGATGTTCACTGAAAAGTACCTGACGGTGTGAGAGACTAAACTGACTTAGATCAGTTTGCAATAGAATTAAACGGGGGCAAGTATGGAGGCAGGGAGATGAGTTAGGAGGAGACTGCGGCAAGTGGTTCCATCAATAGAGGATGAACATCTAAACTAGGGCAGTGACAGTGAGGAAGAAGAAAAGAGAATGGAGACAAGAAATATTTCAGAGGTAAAATCAGCAGGCCTTGGTGATCCATTGGATGGTAAGGTCCAACAGCAGTTTGTGATAACCTGCAGGTTTCTTGTTTGAGTAACTGGGTAGACATTGGTGACATTCACTGATGTAGGGGCAGTATAATAACCAGACGAAAAGAAAGTTTGGGGTAGGGGCAGGAGGAAGCATTTTAATTATGCTTTGGATACTCTGGGCTTAACACCCACACGGAGATGTCCAGCAAGCATTTGGGTAATGTAAGCCTGAAGCTCAGGGGAAAGCCAGGGCTGGAAATGTAGATGGGAAGTCATCAGCACACAAGGGCTGCAGAATACTTCAAAAGTGGATGAATCCTCAGCTACCATAATACAAAGTCAGTAGATGATGTTTAAAAAGTGTTTGACAAGAAATAGTAGAATGTGGAAAACGGCATGGAGGTTCCTCAAAAAAAGCAAACACAGAATTACCATATGATCCAGCAATTCCATTTCTGGGCATATACGCAAAAGAAATGACAGCAGAGACTCAAACAGATATTATACACTTGTGTTCATAGCAGCATGTTTGTAATAGCCAAAGATGGAAATAGCTCAAACGTCCATCAGTGAATGAATGGATAAACAAAATATGATGTTGTGTGTGTGTGTGTAAAATACAATATCATTCATCCTTAAAAAGGAATGAAATTGTGATATATATATATAACAACTCAGACAACCCTTGAAGACGTTTGCTAAGTGAA